CTTTTGCCGAAATACAATTCCTCTCCGCGAAGCCTAGTGGGTTGTTGCCTCGAAAGCAAAAAGAAGAAACACGTATTCTTTAGCTTACTCCACTCAGTTGTACATACACCGCAGCCTTGCTGTGGCGTTCGAACGAAACTATAAAATAAATGTAATATGTACGGTGATCTGTTGCATCCTCTGTCCAGTGCTGACGCACGCATCAGGCTGTCTACGAGGGGCCAAGCACGACGAACAACAACACAAGTTCAACAGTGTGAACGCCTAGTAACTGTTTAGCAGTCATCTATAGTGTTACTGCATGCAGCAAAAAAGGGTTGCAGTGCATGCGTGCTGCGCAGCGCTAGTTGCAGCCAGTCGCTTCTCCCCCTTTCCCAGGACATCGGGCCACCTATGAAAGGGGGGCCCGAGCAGCGAACTCTTCATTTGCATCTGCACGGCCTGCTGCATAGCACTAACTAGTGGTGCAACATCTGCGCTGAATAAGAGAAGCATTTGGATACTCCCCCTATAACGTCTGTTCAACAGGCTACGGCAGAGCTGAGAAGAGCTGAGCAACGGAGGGTATCGATAGAGCACTACATTGATATGTATCGCCGAAATCAAACAGCGCACTCGCAGTGTTTCTTTGAGTGCCCTATGGCGGGAATATGCCATGGAGAATGAACACCTGCAACCAGCTGGACGGTGAAGAGGAAAATAGGAGATGAAAGGGTGGAACTAGCATGCAGCACTGATGAATCAAAGAGAGAAACAACACTACATCCGCACCGGGTTTATAATTTCCTCCGATATGCAGAATGAGTTTATTATACAACAGTGCACTGTTCGACCCCAACTCCTCTGGCTTCACTGGCTTACACCACAGTGTTGTCTGACCCGACGCTGGACCTGCTTGTTTGCAGCGAGCTACGCATACCCGCAGCCACAGAGATCCGCGCACAGCTTGTAGCAGAATAGGAATGCATAAGGAAAGCAGAACAATGCCCGACAGGCAACTATCACAAATGAAGTTCGGCAGTTAGTGTTAAAAAAGGCGAGTTTGTGTTGATAGACTCGCATGCCGCGCGAAATATAGAAAAGGGAATGAAAACAATAAGATTTTTATACGTGGTGAATGGCCCTTTGCTGTTCGTTCTCGGCTCAACACCTTGGCTTAAACCACCCCTGGGGACGACTCCACACCACCGACCCCATTTTTCTTGAACGGTTGAGGGAATGACCAATATTTCCTCAGGCTCTCCTCACAAAGGCAGCAGCAAAATCATTACAGATGGAGCGACTGCAGGAGACCAAGGCGAAAGTCACGCCCTCGACGAGGCGAAGGGGTAACAGTTACAATGCATGCCCACGCCATCTACATCTCGAGTGGATTTCTGAGGATCGCTTCTGCAAATCAATTTATAAGGAGCTTCTACCCGCCACTCACAGCTTACTGGAGCTGAATCCAAACGGCCTGTCTCACTCCGCATCCCTAGCACACTGCTATTGCGCAACAGCTGCGGTTCACAGCATATTTTGAATTGGGTTGGGATGCACCCAGCAGACAGGGACTTTCGACCGTGGGAAACGAGAAGGGGAGCTTTCTGTAACCACCGGCGATGCCAGTGAGCTGAGCCAGCCCGCCGCAGCGGGATGACGGTTAGCAGCTGCAGCAGCAAATAGAAGCAGCATCAGTATATATCACTACCTCTGCTATCTTCCCCTACGCACTGCATACCTTCTCCAGAAGGTGGGCACCTGTCTAAACCTGGTGTATCTATATTTACCTCTATTTTTACTTCGGTACAGGCTGGCAATGGAAAGCCAAGTAAGTGTTGATCAAGCATCTACACCGCTAACACATACATCAAAGGGGACATGAGGAAGCATGCATGAGGCAAGAGGAGTTGCCGCCAGGTGGGCTGCAATACACAACAGACAGGCCGCTGTTTTCTTCACCGGGGCCAAGCATGTGAAGTGCTGTTCCCGTGAGCCGCTGAGAGTGGAGGGGAGTTGAGCAGCACTTTCGGAGCGTTTATCTTCGTCAAATGCAGAGTATATATATATCTATACAAACTATGTGTTTAGTTTATTATATTTTTTATATACAGAATATTATATATATATATATATATATATTATATATGAATGTATAGTCTTATATATACTCTTTTAGAGTCCATCTCGGTTGACTTGTCTTTTCCATTAAGATCTGAGAGAGTGGTTAAGACTGCCGAGGCCCCGCCACACCAAGCCATGGGGAGTGAGCTGAGGTGTACAGACAGCTGAAGAGGAGAAGTGAAGAACCCCGTGGCTGAGTATGAAAGAAGCCAGCACAGTTTAATATGTTTTGTTAAGGCTTGAGACCAGCAGGGTAAGAGAAGGACTAGGGTGTATGTACACCGAGGAGATGTGTGTCTAGAGAGCTTTGTTTTAAGGGGTTAATAGTATTATTTTTGGGTTTTATTTATATTGTTTTGTTGCTGTAGTTGTTTGGATGAATAAACAAAGTGTAGTTGTATTGCTAGAGAGGCGAAGCGAGCAGCCAATGGGCAAGAAGGCTAGTGTAGTATATGGTGGGGTATTTGTGCATGATAAAAGGAGTTATGGTTTGAGTATATTTGTATAAAAAACAAAAATAGAGAAAAATAAAACATAAAATATATTCAGGTGTATATATATATACAAATATACAGACAGATTGCAGCAACAGTAGCCGCTGCGAGCGTCCTTCTGCCCACTCACCTGTTGTATGCGTNATATACAGACAGATTGCAGCAACAGTAGCCGCTGCGAGCGTCCTTCTGCCCACTCACCTGTTGTATGCGTTTCTCCACAGAGAAGGTCTTCTCTTTCTCAGCATTGTGTCTCGTGTTTGTTATTTATGAATTATATTTTTGCAGCTTTCTGATCTAGCTTTAGAGCCTAGGCAATACACTCTATGCCGTACACCCCAGTGTCTACCCCGGGTGTACGTACAGCCCAGCATCAGCACACCCAGCCGCCCGGTGGGGGCAAACACGAGCCCCCAGCTCTTTCACAAAAGGCAACAACAAACAAATCCAATATTTCCTTTTCTTATATTCAGGAGAGGGTTTAGGGTTTAGGGTTTAGGGCTTGGGGTTCGGACTCTCGGGCGGACACAGCCCCCCAGGGAGCTCACACCACGTAAACCACAATACTGCTTGCTAGGGTTTAGGGTTTAGGGTTTAGGGTTTAGGGTTTCTCCTCAATATACTAATGGCTGCTCCCTCTTACCCTGCAAGACACTCAGCTTCTCCACCCCCCTTAGACAAAGCTGCAGGTACCCTGGGCCCCCAGGCCTGGGGGCCCCCCCCCTACAGGGCCCCTGTGCGGCAGAGGCAGGAGCTGCTGCTGGTGCAGCAGCAGCAGCAGCAGCA